TTATACGGAGTCTGGAATAACTAAAATCACAATTATAATTATAATTTAAATTATAATTATAATTTCCTTTTTAATTATAATTATAATTACAATTATAATTATATCTATAGTTATAATGAGTGTAATAGGTATAATTATTATAGTTTTAATTATAATTATAATTATATCTTTTTTATAATGATGATTAAATTATAATTTTATTTAAATTATATTTGAATTATAATTATAATTATAATTGTAATTACATATATAATTACAAATATAATTAAAATTAAAATTACAATTACAATTAGACTTATATAATTATAATTGTAATTGTAATTATATTTATAATTGTAATTTAATTGTAACTTTAATTGTAATTATAATTATATAATTAATTATAATTACAATTATAATTATATCTATAGTTATAATGAGTGTAATAGGTATAATTATTATAGTTTTAATTATAATTATAATTATATCTTTTTTATAATGATGATTAAATTATAATTTTATTTAAATTATATTTGAATTATAATTATAATTATAATTATAATTATAATTATATTTATAGAAATATGCAAATCAGATCAGATCAGAAAGATTCAGATCGGAAAGGTTCAGATCAGATCAGAAAAATTCAGATCAGATCAGAAAAATTCATATCAAATCAGATCAAAACTTAAAAAATTCAGATCAGAAATATTCAGATCAGGTGAAGAGAACAGCTTCTAAATTGTCATATGACATGTTTTTTTTTTACGTTTTTCCTTTTATTTTCATTTTTCTCTTTCTTTTTCAGTTTCCTTTGGATTCCTTTCCTTTCTCCTTCTTCACTTCCGCTCCCTTCTTCTCCCCTGCGCGCACCTGCACATTTTTCTTTCTTTCCCATTCTCTTCTTTCTCTACTTCTCTGACCTCACTTCACCCTTCTCACCTCCCCCCAGCTTCACTCCCGTGTTGGAAATTTTGGGATATTTCAAATGAATATGATATTTCCTTTTTTGGAGAAAATTTATAAAGACTTAAAAGATTACTTTTCTTCTTCATATTAAAGCAATGGAAGCCAAAGATCAAATTATTGATGTTGTTTACACTTGGCCGCTCATATATTTCTAAACGTTAGCTTTCTTTTGATTTATAACTATTAAATTCCCTTTTAAATGATGAAACGTTTTTATTATTATTTGTATTTAATCTCCTTTATTATGGATTAAGTGCTCCTCTTTGTGAATTAGTATAAAACCACGTAAGATGTATGTGTTTTGAGAGATGAATCCCTTTGGTCTTGCTACATTAGTGGAAAGCTACGTACAACGTACAAAACTCTATATCATACCTACATTGTAAAATATATACATATGCATACACTTGAAAGCAAGAAGTTCAATTGAGGGTTTTGAGTACTAGCTACGATATATACATATATGAAAACATACGTATGGAGAAGAAATTTGGGATTTTTTATTTTGAATGATAAAGTGTCTATTTGTGCTACAAGTCCTTTCTCATATATTATTACTGGGTTCATATATTATTTTCTTCTCGTTAGTTCTGGTACCGGTTTTACAACCGAAGGGCTCGTTATATCTTGGGGGAAATTTCCGTACGCCGGAAATAATTCCTTAGGACAGCGTCTGACGCGTCTCGAGCCACTAATATAATTTTAGTTCTTTTTAGTGATTATTTTGCAGGCCAATATCTTAGAGCTAGATGGTCAACGAGGTCAATTGAGGAGCAACACGGTCAACACGTTGAATTTGGAAGGAAAGAGCCAACAATCTAAGGATTTAATGGCGAACAAAAATTATACCTACGGAAACAGTTAGCGTGGCGGATACACCTCCTGTGACTAGTGAAGCCAAAAGTATGGCTACATTTCTAGCTCCCAACGATGGTCATAATTACGGTATGTGTTTTTATATAGCTTTTGTTCAAAAGGTCATTTTTAGATGATGAAAATGTTGGGGAAAACGATCCACCAAAATAAAGTGTAAACTTTGTTGACGGTGATGATATAATTGGCGCGGTTATTTTTAAAATTGACTAGTGATGCGTGAATGAAAAGATGGTAGATATTGATGAGGCTACCAAACACATTTGTAAAAAAAAATGGTTTTATCCTCCTATAGTCCTATAGGGGATGACGAAATGGTTGTTCAGTTTAAGCTCACATGCATCATATAAAATTTTATATTTTAATGATGATTTAATTTGTTTGAGATTTTGACTGACTTAATTGTTTAAGTGTCTCAATTGAATAAAAGTGTATTTATTTCCATTCTACTTTTCCATACCGATATGACATATGAGGTCTGACGCTATAAATGAAACTTCCAAAAAATTTAGTTGTTAAAAACATGTATATTGTTGTTAAAGATGCGCATTTCAGATTTAACTTGTTACTACAAGACTACTCTTTCATTTTAATTGTTCTAAAAAATTATTTGATCAACTCAAGGGGAATTGTAACATTAGCGTGCTTTAAAATATATTATTACTATTAAATTCCCTTTTAATGCTGAAAACGTTTTTTTAACTTTTGATAACCCTCTTATAACATCTCTATAGTCATTAAATTATATGAAGTATTAATTACGTTGTTGTTATGTTGAAGAAATGATGGACCAATTTTTTTTCCTATGCTTACACGAGTATATATATTCGTTGCATGTAGTGTTTTGGTGTGGTTCTTTAAAAACCGAGCGTATATTACATGCAAATAAAGGTTGTGATGGATTTTTCTTAAATAAAAATGAAATTATATGTCTGTGAATTTTAGAAGGGCTATTCACCTGTTTTGTAAATATTTTAAAATTGTGGGGGCTCTCTAAAATTCTACTGCATGTTACAAAGAGAGAAGGTATCTTTCTTGGTTGCCTTTTATATGCTGGAAAATTCATGTATTATATATGAACATTTATTATTTCAAATTATAGTATATGCTCGAGAAATTAAATATTTCTGAGAAGGAGAAAGTTATATTATTTGAAATGTGCATTTGAAAAAAAAATTGAATTTGATGTAGATCATCGGTATTTTCATTGCAAGGCTTATTAGCCACCTTGTGTTAATAAATGAATTCTATAAATTTTGATTGATTATTCATATTGTATGTTGAAAATAGTGGAGCATGTAATTTTCTTGATTTAATTAAAATAATGTGCCTATGTGCAATAGGGTGAGCTATACTATTGTTGAAGTTGATGTGGTGAATTTTTGGAGGAAAAAAAAGGAAAAAGAAAAAAAAAACGTGTACACACTAAATTATGCATGTGTGATTCCCTATATGTTGCTGGAATTTTTTATGCTCATTTCAGTAGCAATATTGAGTTGATATATTAATATAACAAAAGTAATTTTAAGTATTAAAGCCATAGGGAAGGACATTGGTATTTTATTATCATTATTTTGAGGAACTTCTTAAGAAGTTTGACATTTTAGTGTTAAAATGTGAATATCCCTTATGCCTTTAATACAAAAAGAAACGCATAATGTGATTCCAAGGCTCAGTGTGTATGCCTAATAATAAAAAATGTGAGTTTGTTACAATTAACAAAATGTGTGTGAATTGACATAATTTAAATGTCGAAAGATTGAGTAAATTTTGAAATTCAAATGGGATAGTTGGAATACCTTAAAAAGTTATTGAGATACTTGAGTGGTATAACTAATTGTGATATATTTGATTGGAATTATCCGTTGTAATAATATAGTGATACAACGATGATATGTTTTATTGAGAAATATCCATTGTACTAGATCGGTACAATGATGTTATATGAGAATTATCCTTTGTACTATAATGATACAATGATGGTATATATTTTATTGAGAATTATCCGATGTACTAGAGGGTCACATCGATGTTATTTCTTATTGAGAATTATCCGCTGTATTGCCGGGATACAACGATGACATCTGAGTCGACTCGCGTGCGATAAATTAAAATAGTGGATATCCATTCACCCTTAAAAGTGGTGCAATGATGTTTGAGATGGATTTATGTCCATTAATTTTGTGAAGGTAAAAGGAATTAGCTACTCCTTTGACAGAATCCCTAGGACGTTAAATGAATAATTTAAACATCGAGGGAAATGGACTAATGTCACTTTGACAACAAATAGGGATGGGAACCCAACTTGTGTGATTGGAGATCCCATGAAGCAAGTTCATATGGGTAATAACAAGTCTTCTATTTGTTCTGCTAGCCTCGTAAAATGTCCATTTCTATTGTGTGGAAGGCTAGACTGTATTTGTTTGTGAGGTTGAGCTAAAGCTCTTAATGATTGTCATAGCCCTTACGGGTGGTGTGTTAAGTGCGGAACACACTTGATGAGGTCACCTATATGAGTGTGAGGTGGGGCCGCCTGCATAAAGCATTGACAACGTTTTTAGAGCACTCACGAAAACCAAGCACGCGCACGGCCTAGAGGCGCACAACGGCGTTAACGACGAGAAAGGTGGGGGTGAAAAATGATCCCCTAAGACACTGACTTACCAAAGTAGATTGTTGGTTCATAGAAACTATACGTTTCACCAATAAACTCGGTATTTAAAGACTTAGGCGTCTAGGTCTGGTTCAAGTCTACGGACACCAGATTGAAAAACTTCACCCCATATATGAACCCAGTAAGGAATTGCTATTTTTAAATAATTAAAATTATTCATTTGAAATAGTGGGGGATTGTTGGAAATTTTGGGATATTTCAAATGAATATAATATTTCCTTTTTTGGAGAAAATTTATAAAGACTTAAAAGATTATTTTTCTTCTTCATATTAAAGCAATGGAAGTCAAAGATCAAATTATTGATGTTGTTTACACTTGGCCGCTCATATATTTCTAAACGTTAGCTTGCTTTTGATTTATAACTATTAAATTCCCTTTTAAATGATGAAACGTTTTTATTATTATTTGTATTTAATCTCCTTTATTATGGATTAAGTGCTCCTCTTTGTGAATTAGTATAAAACCACGTAAGATGTATGTGTTTTGAGAGATGAATCCCTTTGGTCTTGCTACATTAGTGGAAAGCTACGTACAACGTACAAAACTCTATCTCATACCTACATTGTAAAATATATGCATATGCATACACTTGAAAGCAAGAAATTCAATTGAGGGTTTTGAGTACTAGCTACGATATATACATATATGAAAACATACGTATGGAGAAGAAATTTGGGATTTTTTATTTTGAATGATAAAGTGTCTATTTGTGCTACAAGTCCTTTCTCATATATTATTACTGGGTTCATATATTATTTTCTTCTCGTTAGTTCTGGTACCGGTTTTACAACCGAAGGGCTCGTTATATCTTGGGGGAAATTTCCGTACGCCGGAAATAATTCCTTAGGACAGCGTCTGACGCGTCTCGAGCCACTAATATAAATTTAGTTCTTTTTAGTGATTATTTTGCAGGCCAATATCTTAGAGCTAGATGGTCAACGAGGTCAATTGAGGAGCAACACGGTCAACACGTTGAATTTGGAAGGAAAGAGCCAACATCCCGCTCCCTACTTCTCCTCCGTCGACTAGGGCGGCGGCCGAATTGAAGCTACGGCGGATCTGGAAATGGCCGGCCTAAAGGTATCACGGAGCACCGTCGCTGACCCGGAAGCTTCAACGGAAGCCATCGACTCGTGGGCAGTAGACGAGCGATCTGTGAGAAGGAGGCGTCCACCACTCCGGCGTGCGGTGGGTACTCGAGAATCTCCGGCGACGTGGGTCTCTCTCAAGCTGCGGAATGAAGGACTGGCCGACGACCTGTGGGTAGGAATTGGGAGAAGACAAAAAAATGGGAGAAGAAAGGGTTGATGGAAGAAGTGGTGAAGGGGGAAGGCCGGAAGGAGGTTGCTGGAACGAGCGTAGAAGAAAGGGGGAGTGGGAGAAAGGAGGAGGTAAGGAAAAAAGAAAGGAAAAAGAAAAATTAATGTGAAATAAATAATAAAAACCCGCCACGTGGGTCGCCACGTGTGCACAGTAACAGGTTAAACAATTCATTACCGGTTAAAAGAGAAGATTTGTCACTTAAAATGAGTTCGAGGGTTTACTTGAGCGGAATTTTAGTTGGGGGCTCTAATTGTGTTTTTTTAAAGTAGAAAGTCTTATTCGATAGTTTTCCTTTTATTAATATTTTTGTTACTAATCATATTTTTAATTTTTATTTATTTTAGTAATAATAATTTATTGAAATCATCCCAACGAAATGTCTGAACATACTTCTAGGAAGAATACAACAAATTAAAAAGATAACAAGGGAAATAAAAAAGAAGAAGAAACTAAAAACCGCTAGAAACATGAAATGAAATGATGAAATGATGATAGCAAGAAGAAAACGACAAAATAAAAAATGCAAGATAGGTCACGGTTTAGAAAGAAGACGAAAAGGAAACAAAAAAGGGAAAAAGTATATACTCCTGTAGTATAAGTGGAAGAACAAATAACCCATATTCTATTTTTCGGAACAAATATACTTCTGAACTTTTATAAAGGTGCAAAAATATTCCTCAAGTTTTTATAAAGGAGCAAATTAATCCTTATTGACTTTAAATAAATTTTAAAAAAGACCAAAAATAAATTAAAAAATTGAAATTAAAAAATAAAACATTTTAAAAATGTAATTGTGCCCAATTCTCCCTTTATTGTTTTTATATCACAATTTAATACTTTTAGTATAAAATATTAATTCAAAATATATTATTTTATAGTGCAAAGAATGCAAAAAAATAATAATTTTTCTTTACATTGCGAAACATATGTTAGCACCTTTTCGAAAGAATCTTAAACATATAGAAAAAAATTGAAATAATATTTCATACTTAAAAAATATTAAATTGTGATATAAAAACTATAAAAGGGAGAATTGGACACAATTACATTTTTAAAATTTTTTGTTTTTTAATTTCGAATTTATAATTTATATTTGGTGTTTTTTTAAATTTATTTAATTAATTTAAAGTCAATAAGGATTAAGTTGTCCCTTTATAAGAACATGAGGGATATTTTTGCACCTTTTTAAAAGTTCAAGGATATATTTGTTCCGAAAAAAAAGAACAAGGGTATATCTGTTCCAACACCCATACTAGAGGGGTATATTTGTTCCTTTTCCAACAAAAAATCAAAACTATTGGAGGATTGCGCACATAATGACTTGCTGAAAAATGTTTGGTATACACAAAATGTGTACACCATTTTTGTACACTTGTCTGTCTCAGGCAGACAAGTGTACAAAAATGGTGTACACCTATCAAAATCCTGTATTGCTACAAGAAGTTGTTTTCTCCTAAGTTGATTTATATGACTGTTTTTTAATACTAGTAGTAAATGTACTACTCCCTCCGTAACTTTAAAATCTTCACATTTGAAAAGTAGGTAGATTAAGAATAGTGAAAGATGATATGAACTATTGAGCGTATGATGGGAAAATAGTGGAATATTGTGGTGGAATGCAAGATAAATCCAAAAAAATAGTTGTAATAGTGTATTATTTTAAGAATTATTGAGGGTATGTTGGGAAGATTTAAAAACGGGATTTTTTTTGTTACTGACGAAAAAGGAAAGTGAGAAGATTTTTAAGTTACGGAGGGAGTATGTGATGGTTTTTTAGTAACCGGCTTAGACGTTTTTTTTTGCGATAGTATACGAGTTTATTTGACTATTTTTCCTAAATTCAAATTGGGTTTACGTAAAAAGGTGGAGTTTGGTCTTATAAATAAATATTCCCTCCGTCCCAGAAAATTTTTCCAACCTTGACTTGGCACGAAGTTTAAGAAAGTGGAATAATTAAAATGGAAATGTATGGTTGTGGTTGTGTAAGAAAAAAGTGAAATGAATGTGAATCACACAAATTGTCCAAAAATGGTAAGTGGGGGAATTTTTTGGAACAGTCCAGAAAGGAAAATGAGAATAATTTTATGGGACGGAGGGGTAATACGGAGCACGTAGTTGTAGTACTAGAAATTGCTTAACAAATTTCTAAAATAGGACCAAGTATTTTTTTATTCCATAAATAAAACTTTTTTAATGTTATTAAAGAATAGGTTGATCAAAACTCTCCAAAATAGGAGTGAATAGGTCATATTTTGAGATAGACAATGATAATTCTATCTAAAAATTAGCCTTCTGGCTTCTGTACCATTATTTTCTTTCCCCTTTGTTGTACTTAAAAAAAATCTTTTTAAGAAAATATATTTTTGGTTAAAGTTTTTTCATTTTTATATGAAATTACTTTAATAATAATTAAATGTTGAGAATTTATTTAAGGTATATTAGTTGAATAATTGCCAGCCTATAGGATCTCCAAATTGGCAGGCAGACGAGTCCACCCAACACGACAATGGTTGCTGCTGTGTACCACTTACCTCAACAAAAGCATCATGACTACATATTCTAGTCGATAAAGTTTGATTCAGTAGTTGTCATTAAAATAATAATGACATCTATCTTTATCAACCCCTGCTTTGACTCAAGTGGGTTATTATTGGATTAAACGTACTCCGTACTTATATTTAGCTAAAATCAGGTTGTTTGATTAATTACTCATGTCATTGAAATAATTGATTTTTTTCAGTGTTACTAAAACTGGTATAGTCAAGCCGAGAGGAACGTGTTAGGATGTTTTCTTTAGAACTGTTTTTAGTTCCATATCAGTCTTCCGAAGTTATAAAATACACAGAGACCAAACGTTTACCAGACCAGTTCAAACTAGACCAGATCAGACTAGCAAATTTCAATCCAAAAGAAAACATCCTTATACCTGCACGTGGGGTACTTTATGTAATTAATGAAATTTCAAATGGGGACCTTTTCATAATTATTGTAGAATTATTACAAAATTGTCACCTTGTTAATGATAGCCCATGATTTCATAAATGAGAAAGGAGTCAAATAAGGCCTTATACTATTACGAAAACTTCACATAGAGTCATGTACTCAATAAAGTATCATATAAATCCGTCTACTTATAAAAAGCAATCGGAGGAGTCATAACGACCTTTTGACAACCTCTATAAAAAGCAATTGGATGAGTCTATTTAAGTATCACATTAAGAACGGTTGTTAGGACTCATCCGATTGACAACATCGTTCTCCTGAGGCATGTTTCTGTACCTCATTATGCACCACATTGGTTAAAATGTGAATGCTCTCACGTTCTCACGTTAAGCATCGTTCGCACATCAAGTCTTGAAAGCATGATATATTTTGTAAAAGAACTGTACTTGCTTATCATGGTACAAATTATTTTTAATATCATGATTGAACAAGGTCTTTGTACCATGTGAAAGTATCACTTCTAGTGAGTGCCTTCTGTAAAAGGATCTAATGTGAACAATTTTCTTATGTGTTTTCACATGATTTCGTGACTAGAATTTAAATTAATTTAAAGTGAACTATATTTGTTGGGTTAATGGCCCAAGCAGAGGGCCGGCCCATTTACACCCTCAGTCAGACGAACGTCCAGACAGGTCATTGGGTGGATTAAGCTAACAGGCAAATATAGTACAGACGAACGTCGGATCCAACGCCTAGGCTTACTAACCCATCCCGACGAGCGTCCACACATACGATAGTGGGTCAGGCCCACAAACCAGTATAGTGACAACGAACGTCTCCGGTTCAAGCCCATAGCCGCTTGATGACAATCCAATACGTATGGCAAATCCTCTAAGGGCCAGGATACGAACGGCCCATTACCCTTTGCAAGTAACGCCAGGAGCAGGCCCCCTTATCCGGACTGGACGAACGTCTCCACAACTAGGCGGGAAACCCAGATTCTGGCGGGAAGCGCATTTAATGCCGGAGATTTGGTGGTTGGGACACCAGCCACACACAAGCCTCCACGACAGCATAGTCAGCTACCCATTGGTAGTATAAATAGCAGCATTTATTTCATTGTAAAGGGTTGGCAACTTACTATTCTTAGCACTCTAGCTTATAGCATTCTTATTCGCAACTCTTCTACTGCCTTGTAAGACGAACGACAAGCCTTAGCGAAAGTACTGTATTGGGGAGTTATTAACTGATTAATAATACTTAATCTCTTACTTGCTATCATTTATTCCCTTTAATCCATCTTGCTTGTTAGTTGGGCTAGATTATTCATACACACTCCACTCGAAACTCTTGGGCTTACGTGTTGGACCCGAGGGTTGAAGGAATAAACCTCAACACTGGCGCCGTCTGAAGGAAATTGAACTAAAAGTTTCCAAAAAACTCTCCCGAAACAGCTACTAATCTACCCTCAACAAGCACGATGGCAAGAAACAACCAACAACGCGACCTCTCGGAGCAACTGTCTCACGGGCGAAGAAGCCGCGGGCACACTACGAAGTGTTCTGAGACGCTAGGGACCGCTGGCGGCGACGGTGGCCTCACCAACCTTATCCCCCTTGAGGCTAGGCGCGACCCTCGACTCATGAGGGAGCTGGCGGACACCATGCGCCGAATAGCGGACGAACAGGAGGCGGCTGATGAGGTGTATTCAACCAATACAATCTGGACGCCCATCTCGCCAATCCATCACATGCAGTCCCTGGATGAAACAGCGGAATCTGCGGGACATCGCACATCCGTCCACACGAGGTTGGGCCGGAATCCACCATCCCAAGGGACCAGGGGGCACACCAATGCCAGTACCCCCCCGCTATGGATGGAAAGACGATCATCGGGGTCGTACGCCGGACGGATCCCAGGAACACAGGGGCACGTAAATCACTCGCGCTGCCAGCAACATTGGGCGCCGCTTCTAAAGGCGGGGTGCCCATATCACTCGGAGACAACCCGAAGCGATTATACCAGAAGGGAACGTCGCACTCGAGCCCGCCCCTCTTGTGTCCCCCGGAAGGGCCGCACAGGAGGCCCGGCTAGAGGCGATGGAACGGCGAATGGCCGAAATGGATAGACGGGCGGAGGCCACTCCGGCTACACCACGTTTCTCCCTCACATCACCATTCACCCCGAGGGTCATGAATGCAGAGATCCCACGGGACTGCAGGCCGCCCGGAGGTTTGGTGTAAAACGGGACCGGAGATCCCAAGGCCCATTTGATCAGCTTCCAGGGGGACCTTTCCATGTTGGGAGCATCGGACGAGGCCATCTGCCAGCTCTTCTCCA